GGGGCGGGGGGGCGGGAGATGTGCCAGGCGGGGTAGGAGACCGGAGAGGGCAGGGGCAGGAATAGTTCTGGAGCAAGGATTCCCTGAGTCTCTCTTCTTATCCTACTCCTCGAGGGCGGAACTACGTTTGAGCCTTGGCGTGAGGCAGGACTTCTGACCCTTCTACAAACTCCTGCTTTATCAACGTCTGTGAAAAGGAAACCGCCTCCGAATTCTGGGCACCTTGACCCTTTAGAGGCCAGGGCTGTCCCAGGTTCCCTACCTTGCGAGGCTCCTGGTCCCTGCCCCCATCCTGTCTTAGAGCTGGGTGCAGTGGAGATGGGGAGGGGGGGATGCTGGCAGCTGGTGCCTGGAAACACAGAACTGGGAGTGGCAGGAAACAGGCTCCTTGAAATCCCACTTGGTGCCTCCCTCAAAGCTTCTGCTTGCCACCTGGATACCTGTGTGCACACAGGAACTGGCTGGGTGCTGGGGGAGGGGCTGGCCGGGGGTGCTGGCTTGCCTGCTTTGCAACACTCCTTCCTAGTCCTCAAAGCTGATGTGGAGGCTGTGCCCTTGTATGTGTGCCCCCATTTGTTGGCGAGGCTGTGCCCACACGGGTGCCTAGAGATGTGGGTTTTTTCCACATATTCACAGTCTATCCGGGTTTGAAGGGACTTTGGAAGAGCTCACTCTCTGCCCCACCCCCTGCCCCCTTCTGCCCCAACTATGCCGAGCGCTCATCTGTATTCTGCTTGATTGCTCCCACTGACAGGGAGCTCACTACTCTCCAAGGCAGTCCATCCCTGCTCTGGCAGTTGGAATACTGAGATGGAGACTCTGCCAGGCAGCCTAGACAATGTCCTTTCCCACCCCCACCCCTGACTGCAGGAAAACAGGACCAGGACAAGGTGTGAAGAGACAGCAACCCAATATATTTACAGCCAGTGTTTACTGAGTGCTGGCTATCAGCCAGGCCCTGTGCTAAGTATTGCACATATATTGACTCTCATAATCTTCATAAAAATCTATGAAGTTATGTCTGTTGTTACCTAATTGTATGGAAGAGGAACCTGAGGCACAGAGTAGTTAAGGCACTTGCCTGAAATCTCATAGCCAAGAAGTCGGAAAACCAGGTCTCAAAACCAGAAAGTCTGGTTCTGCCTGAGCTTAATCACCATATTATAATGGTAGGCACCACCCAGAGAGAGAGAGAGAGAGAGAGAGAGAGAGAGAGAG